GCCCCGCTCGCCCCGCCGCCACTTCGCGGCGCCCCGTGGAAAGTCGCGAGCGGCGCGGGGCGGTCGCCGCGTCCCCCGGGCCGCGCCGGGCCGGGCCGAGCGGCGGCGGGAGCGGGAGCCGGGATGTTCCCTGGCTGCAGAGCGGGGGGAGCTGCTCCCAACTTCTCCAGCTGCTCGGTGAGACGGGGCTGGGGGGAACAAGCCTGGATTTTTTTAAAAAATATCCTCCTTTTCTCTCTCTCTCTCTTTTTTTTTTTTTTTTTTTTTTTTGGTTGGAGGGGGCGTTTTTGTGCCTCTCCCCTGCCACCCAGTTATGCATTTGTAAATCTCGGTGATTTTATTTTATTTTATTTTTTGAAGTGGCTGAATTTGAGGGCCAGGCGGCCGGAGTCGCTTCCCTCCCTGCGGCCCAGGGCGCTCGCACCCGCCACCCCTGGGCCCGAGCCCCGCGGCCACCCCGAGCCCTGCTCGCCSGGAGCCGCTCAGCGACAGAAGAACCAACGGGTTTCGTTTTCTGGCTTATTTTTCCTCTTCATGATGGCTTAATATTTTTTTGTTTTAATTTACTCTTTTTCTTTTTATTTTTCCTTATTTTTAAGAGGCTATAATTCTTTTTAATTTTATTTTATAGATATATATATGTATTATATATATGTGTGTGTGTATATATATATATATATATATATATAAATGATGATAAGGGAGTTGATAAAATTAAATCCCTTGCCGTGCAATGAAATCGGGATGAGAAGCACCACGGCTGGGCTAGAAACTTGCTGGGGCCGAAGCAGCGGCTGCCTCCAGCTCGGCGCTGGCTCCGAGGGCCGCGGAGCAGGGACCGAGCGCRGCCGGCAGCGGCTCTGTGCCCGCTCCGTGCCCATTGTGCTTCTTTTCCAGGCTCCAGCCGGATGCCCTGGAAGATGCTGCGAGCTCGGGACAGGAATCTCTGCTCCTGATTGTCCAAACGCAATTCTTGTGCGATGGAGACACACGAACCAAGAATTGTGTCTGGACATCTGTAGCAGAGATTTCAACTTCACCGGCTGGGCTTCAGGAAGGGAATTGGAAGCAGAAAAATAGGACCTTCTTCCCCGGATTCTGTGGACASCAAGGTAATAATATTCCGGGCCGGCGAAAGGCGCGGGCGCCTGTGTAAGCCTGAGTGCGATTTCAAGGAAACTGAATAAATACGAGTGGCGATTCCTCACCTCTCAGCTCTGCTGGGCATTTCAGTTGGAACGCGTCAAATATCCGCCGGGTCGAGCGCCGCTCGCGGGATCCTGGCGGCGGCCGGGGCCCGGCTCCGGCGCCCGCGTTCCGCCGGGATGCCGGCRGGAAGGAGCCGAATGCGGCGGGCGGCTGCGGCCGAGCACTCCGGCCCTGCGGCTCCTTCTCGGTTTAGCCTTTCCGCCTCCCCTTCCCTTAATTGCGTTTTAATTTAATTTACTATAATTTCCACGCGCCACGGTGGGGACCCTGGGAGAGGCGAGGGAGGGATCCCCGTCTGCCCGGCCCGCAGCTCCCCGCAGCCGGGCCCTCCTCTTCCTCCTCCTCCCCGCGGGAGGAAGGCAGCCCCGGCCCCGCGGAGGCCGCGCCGAGGCTCCGAAGCGCTCGGGCCGCGGGCAGGGATGGCGGCCGCGGGCAACCTCGGAGCGCGAGGCCGCGGGAAGGAGCCGGTAGAGCGGAGCCCCCGTCCTCGCTCCGAGCCCCTCCGAAGCCCCCGTCGGGAGGCTCCGAACAGAGAGGCTTTATGTTGCCGCGAGCCGAGCGCCTCGGCCGGGGCTGCCAAGGAAACCCGGGAGGAGGAGGGAAGCACTGCGAGACCCGAGCAAAATTTCACCCGCTGCAGGACAAAGCTGGAGGCAAAGGATGCTTTTTAACGGTTTTTATTCCAAGAACTTCTGCTACGGGATTTTGCCGTATCCTTATTCCCCGCCTYCCCTGGCCCAGCTTCCCTCACCTTCGTATTTCTAGCTTTTCTAGCAGTGATTGGCAGCTTTTACTACAGCGGGAGCTAATCCATGTGGGTCTACCTGTGCCAGGCGGGGGAATAACGCTTCCAGGGAAGAGCTCATCCTGTCAGGAACTGGCAGCCGAGGGGATGAGAGCAGAACGACCCGGCCTAAGGCAAAGAGGCCGTTCAGTGGCAGGGCAGACGGCAGAGCTGAACAYGAACCTGCCTTTTCTCGTGGGGTTTAGGCCTGTTTTGAGGTGCTCACCATCCGCTTGGGGCTTTTTGGATGCTTCCTGCCGTCACCTGGAGCGCCCCTTTCTTTGCTGGGGCGCCCAGCGAGGTAAATAGCAGGCGAGGCCGGGAAGGAGAAGAGGCTGCGGCCCGAGCCGCTCGCCAGGGCAGCAGGCTGGACTYGAGCTGCAACAGCTGGATTTGAAAAAGGGCAAATATTATTTAATTACCAATCCTGTTCTCTGAAGTTACCGTTTCTCAGAGGAAGCAGCATCGAGGTCCCGGGGTACCTTTAGTTACGTAGGTTACAAAGGGTAAATCCGCCAGAGGGGAGAAGTCGGGAATTGTTTTGCAGCCGTCTCCCCCCGCTCGGGCAGAATAACTCGAGTGTCGCTGCAGGACACGGGGCCGGGGGCGATGCCGGGGCCGGCGCGWCGCGGTGCTCACGCGGCTCCGGGCGGCCTGGGAGAGGAAAGCGCAGGGAGCGCCCGGGGCTCCGGCTGCCCACACGGGAACGGGCCAAACCACGTGCTCTAGGAGTCGGGTAGGAACACGGGCGAGCAGGAGCGTGGGCAGCGCGAGAAGGAGCGTGGAAGGACTCCCGGTGGGATGACGCCGGGATGCTCGCTCGGCGCGTTTGGGACCCGCTGGCACTGGCGCCGTCTGCTCCGACCCTCCCCGTCGTGGCCGGCAGGCCGGGCAGTCCGTCTGTGCAAGGAAACTTCTGGAAAACAGAACAGCGTTCCCAACCTGGCCACACCAGTATCCGTCAGCTCCCGGGACGTCCTCAGAACGTGCACTAAGAAGCCACCCTTCCTGCTGGTGGAAAGGGTTAAAAGCCACTTCCCTCCCTCCTTCCTTCCTTCTTTCCCTCCTTCCTTCCTTCCCAGCTTTCCGCGYTCTCGCTGGGCGGTTCTGGCCACTTCAGCCCCTGGGTGAAGGCTGGTGCCAGGCGGCGCCCCCGGGAGCACCCGCCACGGCGGGACCCTCCCCAGGCGGCCTCGGCTCCGCAGCCGGCAACGCGGCGCCTGGCGGACGCTCCGGCAAACCGGAGCCCGAGGAATCCTGTCCGTCACGCTCACGGAAAGCCAACGTGGTGCCCTTACCAATCTCCGCCGTCTTGGGCTGGGTTTATCTACCCACCAAGGGCACGGTTATAAACTGGCATTGGTCACTGCCTGGTCCTTTCCCCTCCCTGGGCTCAGGTACGAAGCAGGCGTAAGGCAGCAGAAAAACAAACTCAGAAAGCGAAATGTTCCTCTCTGCTGCCCATGGATAATTAGCAAGACAAGCGCAGAGCCGCTGCAGAGGTCGCTCAAGCTGTAATCTCCACCAGCTCGTGGAAGAGCCAGTGAAGTTACCTTTTGTTTCCTTGCGTTTCATGTCCCACCCTTCCCCGATCACTTCTGGGGCTCGCTGCAGAGCCCATACAAAAGACACTCTAATAAATAAGCATTGTGCTGAAAAGAATCCCGGCTCCCGGCACAGGCATCCAAGCAGCACAATTCCCCCCGAAGGTCTCGCTGCCTGAAAAGACACCCCGTTCTGCTCGGTTTTCAGGGCCCCTCTTGCCTTCTCTCCAGGAAAAATAAAGTCCCACAGGCGGGAGGTGCTCTCTGCTTGCTGGGGTCCCTGGAAGCGCAGTCAGGAGGGGTGAAAGGAGAACCAAGAGATCGAGGCTGTTGTGCTGCGCAGCATGCTGCACGCTGGCAGGGCTTTATTTGGATGTTTAGGAACAAGTGAACTCACTGGGAAGACACAGAGCCTGGGCACAGACAGTTCAGGAGAGATTTGGGTAGGTTTAGGTCTTGGCTTGCTTTTTTTCTGCCCAAGGGTGTGGATTTAAGTCCTTGTTTTTCCAGGAGTTCACCCGCCATGTAATGTCGAGATGAAAAGCACGTTATCCTGGTCCTGGAGTTTGTAATCCAGCTCACCCTGCAGGCCAAGACAAAAAACAAAAAACGGTTTAAATGTCACTTTGAGAGGCAAAGAGAAAGCAGCTCATAAAAAGACGGGGAGCGCTAGGGAGTGCAGCAGGGGAAGACCAAGGTTTCAGCCTGAACGGACGCAAAGGTGAGAGATCATGCAGGGAGCTGACACGTTATCTCGGGAATGTGCCGCTTCCGGCACCATCGTGTCCACAGAACAAGCGGTTGCCTGAGGCAGGAAAACCGTCAGACTGTTTATTGCCTGAGCTCGAGAGGCATCGACCAGTGGGCACTTTGGGGAGAACCCTCCGCCGCGCTGCTCTGCGCAGCCACCCGGCGCTGGGGCCGGGGCTGTGACAGTGCCGGGGCCGGGGCGGTGCCCGGTACCCATCACGTTGTGTCCCCAGGTGTGGGTGACATCTCGCCGCCCCCGGAACTGCAAGGGCTGTTGCCAGAGGTCAGGGAATAGAGGGGATCTCTTCCCACGCGCCGACAGGCTGATGAGACTCAGCAGGCTGGGAAAAGGCTCCAGGCTTCCCAAGAGCCGGGGGGTCCACAAAGAGAGATCCCAGGCTCCCCCTTCCCCCTCCAACATTAGATTCTTCGCTTGGGGCAGGAATCACAAATAGCGTCTCTGGAAAAAATCACAGAACAGAGAGAGCAGGATTTGCAAGGAAGAGAGTCAACCTGGAGGAGTACAGACCATTAGCTCCCAGTCTGCGTCGTTGATGAGCACCAAAATTCCTGGCCTCCTGCAGAACACAGAGAAATAATTAGGATACAGGGCTGCCGAGCAAACACCCAGGGCACCCGGAGCCCCCGGGTTCGGGCAAAGGGATTCCCCCTCTTTGATCCTCAGTGTCCTGCAACTGTCTCTCCCGTTACCAGGGGACCTGGCACACGCTTCAGCTCACAAAGATCCGTGACAAATGTGCAACACTCCCAGCGCCACCCCGCAGTCAGGGCTGCTTTGCACAGCTCACTCTGCTCCATTTCTCCTGGCTTATATATTTTTTTTCCCTCTCCCCTCCATGAGGTTGGCCCCATTTTGACAATAAAAATACATTTCCCAGAAGGAACGCGTGCTGGCGCTTCTCCGAGCGCCTGCTCCGGTCCCAGGGATGTCAGCAGGGAACGGAGGGAGCTGCTGAAGTGGAATCCAGGGTGCGGGTGCTCACAGAGCACCCAAAGCACACGTGGGTTTGCCTCCCATTTAACGTTTAAGGATCTGGGCTGCAAGAGACAGACACGTTCTCTGCAAAGCACCACAAGATTCACCTTGAAATTCCTTCCAAATCAATGGGACACCTGCTTCCTTATCCCRTAGCATATCCCGTATTTTCCTAGACATTAACTTCCTTCTTGCAACCAGCATGAAAAATGTATCGCCAACCACAGGGATCAAGAGGGACGCACAAGGAAGATCCACAACGTTTGTACTCACACAGACTCCCCTTCCATAAATAATTCCTGTCGTTCCTTCAGCAAGTTCTGCTTGATCCACTTGAGCAGCTTGCGGATGTCCCCTGAAAGGAGAAGGGACAGCAGGTGAGGCCGCTGGGGGCTCCCAGTGCATCCCAGGACGGCGACTATCCACAAAAAGAGGGAACGAGGGACGGGCTGGCCGGYTGGGGAGAGCGGCCGAACCTTCACTATGGGGAAACCGAAACGGCCCTGGCTGAAGGCAGGGAGCTCCGAGGCTCTGCCCCACCGCCCGAGTGCTGTGGGGCAGGTTGGCAGCTTCCCGGGAAAGGCCGGGCGGGAAGGTGGAGCCTTTCCCTGAGCGCCCCGGGTAGGAGCAGGACGGGTCCCTCTCGTGATGTGCCCACATCGAGGGCATCCCCACAGCGACCCACGCGTCCCTGCCGCGCCGCAGGTGTCCGGGACGGTAACTGCCCCCCCCACACCCCACGGCCGCGCACCCGTGACTGCCCCACAACCTCAGCTGGAGCCGCGCGTCTATTTAGCCCTGGGGGAGCTGAGGGAGGCTGACCAGAGCCGGGGCCGCGCGCCCACCGCGCTCCCCGCGGCGCCTGGCCGGAGCCCTGCAGCTCCCGGGGCGCCCGTCCTGCCCCCCGGGCCTCCCGCCGCGCCGAGCCGCTCCGCTATTAACGCTCAGCCTTTATCTTGCCATTTCAGGAGGTGACAGGGAGGATTTGTCTTCACGGAAAGGGAGGAGGAGACACTGCTGGCGGGTTTTTATAGTATGCATTTTACTTGGTGAGGCAAAAACAATTTCTTTCGCGATAGCATCAGTTAATTTCCTACTGGAGAGGTGAGGAGCGACGGAGGGGGAGCAGGATGCGCTGCGGGGTCCGGGGAAGCTGACAAATGCCCGCGCGGAGGCCCCRGCCCTCGCCTCGGCGCTCCCACCATCCCCACAAACCAGGAGATCATCCCGAGCCGCGAGCGGCTGCTTGCAGGGGCTGCTCCCAAGGCCCCGGGAGCCGCGTGCGGTTTCGGGGTGCCAGGAAGCCCCCGGCGGGGGCTGCAGCCCCTTTTGGGGGGGCTTCCCAGGCCTCCCCCGTGGCCGACAGCCTGCCCGGGGTCCCGGGGAGCCTCTTCGGGCAGGCGGAGCTGGAATAAAACAGAGCATTTGCTGGGCGGGCAGCACGTGCAGCAGGTTGGCTCTGCCCGCCGTGGGGATGCGCCGGGATGCCGGATGCCACGGGGAAGGAGCGAGGCTCCTCCATGGGTTGGGAATCTCCRTGCCGGGGATTTTCCCTGCGTAGAGCATGTGGCCGGGCGGATATTTCAGCAACGGGGCCGCGGCTCCGGTCACGACGCAGGATCTGCGTGGAGCCGCCCACAAACCTGCATGCGGGTTCACGGACAGGACCTGCTGCTCTCCCGCACCGAGGGGAGCCGGCGGCACCAGCGGGTCCCCTCGGCCTCCCWGCAAGCTGCGGAGAAAAGGCAGGAGGACGGAGAGAAGCCTCCGGAGCCGGGAGCAGCCGCGGCTCTTCCATATTTATGGCCGAGGCCGCACACAATGCGCGCGGCCGCCGCGGCAGCCCCTTTCCCGGGAGCTCTCCAGGGACACAGAAACACGCGGCGGCTGCGTGGAAGGCCGCCCGGAGCGGCCGGCGCGGAGGCCGCTGAGTCACGCCGGCCCGTGCCGGGTGACGCCCTCGTCCCGACGCCGTCTGGGATCAAGGGGGTTTTCAGCCCCACCTGAGCCTCCATTCCCTGACTCCTCCCCTGGAAGCCACACGCACATCCTGGAGAATTAACGGGAAACGAAGGGGGATCCCTGTGTGAGCCTGGAGCCTCCCTGCTCCAAACAGGAAGGAAAATTAAGACGCCGGCCCCACGGCCAAACTGAGGACGGAGCGTTTCCAGCTGCTTTTTTTTTTTCCCACTCTCATGTCCCTACCCACTCTCATGTCCCCTTTTGTGCAACCAGTTTGACCCCAACCAATCGATTATAAAGGATGAGAAGTGACCAGCCAGGCACTAAAACCATCTCCCCCGAGGAGGGCACGGGAAAGGAACCAGACCACTGGTATCGTGAGGGTCGGTGCAGGAGCCATYGCGCGGTTCGCGCAGCCGCTCCGCATCCCACTCGCCGTCGCGACGGAAACAAGCAGCGGATCCGGGTCTCCTACCRGACACCTGGACCCTTCCTGAGACCTTCTCCTCGGGACATGGCGCTGCGGAGCTAACCCTGGTTTCCAGCCCCTTGGGCTGAGCATTGTGCCATCAGGCCCTCTAGAAAGGACTTAGGAGAAGGAAACCCGTCAACGTGACCAGGCGTCACATTCGGGACAGGTTAAACCATCCGGTCCCGCGGGTGCCGTCACGGAGAGGCCTTTGCTGGCGCCCGGCGGGGACAGGGACGGCGCGCCCGGCCCCCGAGGGAGCTGCACGCGGGGGCTCACACGCTCCCGACGCTCCCTTAGGTCACCAGCTCCAGCCCCGTCTCGTTCGGACGCGGGGACAGATGGCTGCAGGTGCCTGTGGGCCGGGACAAACCCCTCCAAATTCTCAGMAACAAATAACCCAAAGCTAAATTAAAACAAAATGACAAAATGGGAAATGCTGGAGAAAACAGCGTCGTTCGAGTGCCCAGATGGGAGCTCGAAGCCGCGATTCGGCATCCCCCAACCCATGCAGCGACACAGGCAGCGCAGGGCCGCGGTGCCACCAAGGCCCGTCACGGCGTGCAGGACGCGGGGCTGCAGCCGGCGCAGGCACCCAACGCCCGCGGCGCCGGCCCCGCTGCCTTCCACACGCTCCCCGCCGCGGGAAGCGCAGGGACCGCCGGCTTCCCCGCGTGTCCCCCGAGGCCCCGTCCYGGCGTCACCCCGCCGCGCAGCAACGAGGAACGCGCTGGGCTGCCCCTGCGGGAGAAAGGAAGCGCGGGCTCCATCTCCGCACCGCCGCAACAAGGGCCTGGGCTCATCCGCACCCTCAAAACCCAGGCGGAAATCCATAGATCTTCCCCCGCTCAATAAAACCTCCTAGGCCTGACACATTCATCAGTGATAACTCAGCAAAGAGGGCGCTCCCTGCGTGCAGAGAGAGAAAACAGGTGCCTGGAATAAGAAGCAGCGAGCTGGATTTTCCACTAGGGAAAATGGGCACAGGAGGAAAAGGTGCGGAGGGGCCGGAGGGTTTGGCACAATCCGGTCTGTAAGAGTGGCTGACCGGAGCCCACGCTCGGCCACAGGGAGCCCACAGCCCCACATGTTCGTTCACATGGAGCCCACAGCCCCACATGCTTGGTCACAGCGAGCCCACAGCCCCACGCACGCCCAGGCCCCTCCACATCCCCGTCCAAATCCACACGGAAACAAGGGCACCCTGCAAAGCGGCCGGAAAGGCACCCGGAGGGTGCAATTACTGCTCCATTTCCGCCCCAGCTTCTTTCAAGCAAATGGGGGATCCCTATAAAAGCCTGACCGTGGAAAATTCCCTTCTGGTCTGTAATAAATAAGAGAGTGGCCGCGTGGTCACTAAGGGGTCAGTGCTGCAAGAGGTTTGTGCGCGGGTACCTCCCCGTGGGCGCCCACGTCTCCGACCCAGAATGCGACCATCCATCACAGGGCCCGTGGCCGAGCTCCAGCTTGTCGAGGTCACTCACGGCGGCCGCTCCACCCCTTTCGCAGCCTGCAGCCCTGACAAAGCCCCTTCCCGGCCGCTCCTCTCCCGAGGTGCCCCGGAGCCCRGGAACGGGGGCAGAGGGGTTGAAACCCCCTCGTGCCCCTCGAGAATCCCCTGGGTTTATGACCAGAAGTGACCCGTGGTCCCTGCGGCGCTGCCGGCGGGCGCCTTCTCGGGTGCCAGAGCCCTGGAACAGGCTGCCCAGGGAGGCTCTGGAGGCTCCTTCTCTAGAGATCTTCCAAACCCAGCTGGATGTGATCCTGTGTCCCATGCTCCGAGTGTCCCTGTTGGAGCAGGGGGTTGGACCAGACGATCCCTAGAGGTCCCTTCCAGCCTCAACTGTTCTGTGATTCTCCGCTGCTGCGTGCAAAGGCGCTCCAGGCTCTCCCACAGAAGCGTGTTTCAAACTCTGCCCAAAGGGGCTCCTGGGGTTTCTCCACCGTCCCGGACACGAGCCGGGCGGCAAAGCGGACGAGGACGCGCCGGGAGCCGCCAAGAGCAGCGGGCAGAGCTCACACCCAGGGCAAGCGGGCTGGGTGCCCACGCAGGGCGAGCAGCAGCGCCCRCAGGAGCAACGTCCAAGCACACGGGCCGGTCCTGGCACAGACTGGAGCGGGCAGAGACCTGAGCGCTACCAAAAACATCAGGGGGTGACTAGAGTCAGACACAGAAAATCCCCATCGCATCTGCTCGTTTGCAAGAGGAGAACACCGGGGTTTGGGCTTCTGTGATTTTTCATCGCGTTACGACACCCTTTTCTCCARCCCCAGCTGCAGAACCCCTGGCGACGCTCTCCTCCGCTTCCCCACATCCACACGATGGGGAGACATCSCCGGGGTCTTCCATCACCCGCCCATTGGTGGGGGGAAGACCCACACAGACCCACATCGCAGCCATCGCCCCACAACCCTCAAACATGGGGCTCTCCCCCAGCCCCCAGGAGCCGGGGAAGAGAAACCCCCCAAATCGGGCAGCAGGAGAGCCCAAGTTCAAGGGATCCCCAACCTCCTTTGCTGGCCACCAGCAAGACTCCAGATCCAGGAGCTCCCACCACAAGAAAGCAGCTCCGAGTGGATCCTCCGGGTAAACCTAATCCYCACACATTTCCCAAGTCGGAGCATCTAATCCTATAACCCCCAATGCTATTGTCACTCCAGGCTCCCAAATAAATGCCGGTGCACCAAACTGTCTCTTTGGATTAGGATCACAGATCACTGGTGCTGGTCCAGGGTCTCGCCTCTTGTTCAAAATAGTGAAAGGAAGGAACCAGGGAGAGCCTCAAAGCTCTACTCCGTGGACAGAGAAGGGCTGGATTAGGAGTAAACGTCAAAAATAAGGTCCTGTTAACAGTTCTCCCGAAATTTTATCCTTCCACTCATGCAGAGCGATCCACAAGGGATCAATCCGAGTTCTGCCCGCT